ATACCTCAAGTAGCCTGGAATATTAATTAAAAAGAGAACTGAAGGAGAAGTCCTAGGTTAATCCTAGCTCTACCACTAGATGAGTGACCGTGGACAAATTCATTTTTGTCCCTGGGTCTCAGTTTCTTCATATGTAAAATGAGGAGAATTTCATTATCTCAAGTCTCTCCTGGCTCTAGCGTCTGTTAAAATTTATAAGAGGTAAACCTTGTCCCAGCCCAGTGCCTTAGACATTACAGGCACTCAGTAAATATTTGATTTCTTTGTAGTTGCTTCTCCTGTTACACAGGAATCGGAGTTGTCCTGGAACAGTCCAGCCAGAACAAGTGAAAGTTTAAGTCCCACTTCCTTCTCTGACTCCCCATGCAACCTCATTCTGGTGGTGTGATATAGAGGGGATGAAGCACTAAATCTGAAGTTGGAAAATATGATCTCTGACCACTGCCATTTATTTGGCTATGGAACGTAGAAGTCATTTCTGAACATTAATCTCCTCACCCATAAAAAAGCCATACTGGCTTTCTCTCAGCTCTTCAAAGGTACTACATGCCTTCCCTCCCCAGGGCCTTTTTGTGCTCACCCTCTGCCTGGAATGTTTTTTGCCTTTTCTTTGCTGGACTAATTTCTACTTAGTCTCAGGGGTGGCGTTAACTTACTTTGTAAAGAAAAGTATTCCCTATCCACTCTCCTCACCCCTGGTGCACTCTTATTACCTCACTGTTTAATTTGAATTAATTTTTATCTCAACTGTTACCTCAATTATTTACTGTCCATCTCTAGGACTATGAGCATCACAGAGGCAAGGAATGTCTGCCTGTTCATCACTATACTCCTCAGTGCTTGGCTAAGTGCATGGTACAGAAGTATCCAACAAATATTCTTACGGAAGAGTGTATAAACTAATGCACCTAGAGGCTTAATGCCTCTATACAGTTTCTTGGTTCACTCAGAGAAAACCCTAATAAACAACTGCACTTTAAGATCTTTCACAAGTTTCTGAGAATCAAGGTTCAAGACAGAGAACCTATGTCACACAGGGGTTAGAAAAAGTCATGGAAAATCAGAGTTGAAGAATTCTGGAAGCTAAAAAAAAAAGAAAGGGACAGGGTGCATTTCTCCCCCCACCCCGGTCCTTTCTCTGCAAGTCTATTATCAAGAATGAGGAGAAAATCCCATGTTCCCATGGTGAGGAAGTGACCCACTGGTGGCCTGGTCCTTGTATTCAGGATGGAGGAAGTGACTGTCCACCGGCTGAAAGCCAGGAAGCGGGGGCAGAAATCCAGGACAAGCTCCCTCCTCCACTATTCCCTCCTGCCACCTCTAGAAAGCTTCTGGGCGCTGACCCTGGTCGACCTAGAGGCTGGGCCACCCACATAGGGGCTGGGAAACACAGGCTACACGAAGTCCCTGGTGCTGGGGGACAGGCCAGGAGGGCAGGAAGCTGCAGGGTGGTGTACGAGGAGACTGAGACGGGACTGCAGGCCCAGCTAGCCTAACCCTGAAGCTACCCGTCCTCCTTGGACGACTCTTCCATCCAGGAGGTGTTTGGCCACATTTCTTGTCTTCGACAGGCCAAGGGAGAATCCAGAACTCCAGGGGCCCTACCTCCCCAGGAAGAATGCTCCGGTCTCTCCTCACCCCTAGTTCGTGCCTTAAACCCCACGGGAACCCGCACTCTCCTACTTCCTGCAAAGAGCCCCAAGACACACGCGAAAAGCCTTGGATCCCGTCGGGAAGTCATACTCTCCTCCATTTTCCACAGAAAACTCAGGACTCGGGGTGACTTTCCATCCCCTCATAACTGCCTCGAACCCCGAGGTCCCCGTACTCTCCATACCCCACAAGAACCCAGGCTCCTCGGCTTCCTTGCAATGGTTTTAATTTGAGGGTTCGCGGGCTCCAAGTCCAGCAAAAAGCTGGCTCCCTGGCAGAACCCACATCCCTTCCTCTCCGAGACCGCAACGCGCGCGATGCCGCCCCACCCGCCTGCCCCTCGGAGCCCTCTGTCTCCAGCCCCCCAATTCCAGGAGTCCCACAACCTCCGAGTCTCTGGGAGCGTTGTGCTCACTCCCCAAATTCTTCCGAGAAGACGCCGACTCCCCCAGGCGCTCTGGGGCCCGGCTTCCTAGATAACGGCGGGACAGGACGGCGCGGCCCTTCCTTACCAGCCTGCGCGGCCATGGGTCCTGGGAGCGCGGAAATGAGGAGGAAGAGGCGGGAGGCGCAGCTGCTCTTCTCGGGTCCTGCGGTCGCCTCAGGCGCGGGAGCCCGGGTGCGAGCTGGATGCACCGCCTACGGCGCCCGGGCGAGACCAAACCGCACCTGGCACCGGGGCCCACCCGCCGATGCCCCGCCCCACGACGTCCCGCCCCGGGACAGGCCCCGCCCCTTGGCTCGGGCTCTGAGGCGGTCTTGGCGCCCCCTAGTGTGAGCAGCACCCTCCGGGAGTGCTCGGGTAAGGATGATGCTGCGCAGGCGGGAGCCCCCAACACAGAGGACCCTCAGCCCATTTTACAGATGGAGACAGCTGAGGACCAGAGAGGACAATTTGAACTGCTTCAAAATGGCACAGCTCTATAGGAGCTGAGCTGGCATGGGGACCCAGGTCTCCTGATTTTGAAAAGCTCTTTCCAATAGAGTGGAATCAAGAATGGAGAAATAACGTCTACCCTACAAAGTAGCTTTCAAGGAGGGAGGTTAAGGGTGGACTTTTCTTAGAAGCTTCCAGCTCAGAGAAGCCACTTCTGTGTGCCACTATGGATAAGCAGACACTCAGTAGGTAATCTCTAGGTCAAAGACAGTAAGTGCAACCACCATTCCAAGGTCAGATCTTTAGCCAGACTGAAATAGGTATATAAATTAACTCAGCACACCAGATCTTCTAATTTTTCAAGACAAGCCAAAAAGCTAGACATTTAGGTGAAATTTCCCACTTTTTAAAATGTTGGGAACGTTCAAAAATTCTAAAAATGCCACATAGTCCAAAGGAGACACACCTGTGGACTGGATTTGCCCTGCAGGCTCCTCTTTATGGAGGACAGCTCACTGGGACAAGGAATTAGAACCGCTGCTAGCTGGCTTAATGGGCCTTGAGAACCACGTCCATTCACTGGACTTGAGAGGGGAATGGGGTCCTTTATGTAACGGAGGGTTGGCCACATCATCTGGTCCCTGAGATTCCTCCCATCTGATTCTCTTATGTTGAGTCTTTGGCAACTGTCATTTCCTTAAACCAGATTTAGGTCATGGGAAAAGTGTCCAAATGATTAAGAATGGACAGAGATGGGGCCCGAGGAAACAGATCATAATGCCTCCATCAAGGACAAAGTTCAACCCAGCTGTCTCTGGTCCTAGTACTCAAATAAGTAAAGGCAAATGCAATTCTTTCTTCCTGTCCTGACCATGTGGTCCAAACTGGATGCAGGTCAGATTTTTCTCCTCTGGGTGTGGCAGGTAGCTTCTGATGTCCTGCATGTGCAGAAAGTGCTGGGGGGTTGGTGAAGCAATGATTTCTGCTAATTCCTGGGAACCCTCCTCAGCAGTCAGGTTTAGTTTCTGAGGAAATCTCTGCTACGATTATAACCGCAACATTGTGTATTGAATTAAAATGAGAGGGGTCCCTGGACCTCTAGTCCTATGACTACCAAAAGGGGGTGGGGATTTTATTCACCTTGCACATGGAGAGAGGTTACATTGTATTTTCCCAGACACCCAGCCACTGGCAGCTTTGGAATCAAGACCGCTGAGTGTCTTCCTTCTCTCTCTGCCTCCCAGCAAGGCACCCAGGTCTGGGTATTCTGCCTCTTAACTCTCTCATTCCACCACCTCAACTTCATGGTTTTCATCATCAAGGAATAGGGGGAACCAAGTCCCCCAAGTTCCTTGTAGAAAAGTTCAGATAACTCTTGAGAAATGCAAGTTTAAATGTAAAGGAAGAGTGTAAGTCTGTAAGATATATCTTTTCATTATGGACCCAAAGACCCTTCCCAAATCACTTGTGAACTCAAGGGAGACTTCTAGAGGGCAGAAAAAGCCAAGGCAAGTTCTACTGGGTTTGTAGCACCCAACTCACCTATTGAGTTTGATTACCTGACAATGACTTGGTTGGTCCTTGAGAACAGATCCTGCTGAATCACAGTCAACATTCTGGATCTGTAACACTGAGAACCTGGATCCTGAAAACCCCAATAAGGTCCAGGCTCTGCCATCCTGAGAGAACTGGTCTCCTGGTCCCTAGCCAGACCTTCCCAGTGTTACTTCCACTTGCTTCCAACTGAGCCAGTGTTACATCTCTAGTCTCTCCCCTCCCTGAGTCATCCCCCCTAAAATAATCTTCCAAAATTATGTCTGTCACTTCTCTGCTCAGAAACTTTCAACAGCTCCCTGTTGTCTCCAAAATAAAGGCAAACCAGGCCCTTTTAAGGTAACTACATCTCACTCTGTGGCTTTTCTCCTTACTCCTTTCACTCGGGACTCAGTTTTTCTTCTGAATACATCCCGCCCTATTACCATTCTGTTTTTCCTACAACTACCAGCGCCCCAATATTCTCTGTAATTTTGTTGCCCCATTCTACCCAAAAGTGCAGTCTTGTTTCTAAACTCTTAAAACATTGTTATTTTCAATTATATTAACCCCTGCGAATTAATCTAAATCTGCACAAATATGATAGCCATTGGCCACATGTAGTTATTTAAAATAAAATAGAACTAAATATTCAGTTCCCCAGCCCACTAGTCACATTTCATGTGCTGGGTAGCTATATGTGGGTAGTGGTTACTATGTTGGACAGGGCAGAGAGAGTACATCTGCATCACGGCAGAAAATTCTATTGGATAGTAGCGCATGCTGTTTTAGACAATGATCAGTAAGGCCTACCAGACATCACAAAGAGGGACTCACATAACAAAGAAGGAGTACCAGACATTATGTGCTTCCTGATATGCTGCAATAAGAAGTGTATGAGGGGGGACACAAAAAACCTGGTATTTATAAAAAAACCTGTATTTATTTTTACATTTACATTTCAGTCACTTTCAAAGTACTCTCCATTTGATGAAATATTGAGACTTTTTTCCACTGCTCAAAAGATTTTGAACTGGTTGAATGTGATGCCTTTCAATGCTTCTGCTGTTTTTTGTCTCACGTCTTCCACATCTACACATGGGCAAAGCATTTCCCTTTGAGTTTTTTCATCCAGGGAAACAACAAAAATAGTTGCTCAGGGTGACATTGGGTGAACAGGAGGATGGGGCCCAGGGGTCATGCTGTTTTTGGTCAAAAATTCCTGATCACTGATCGTGGTGTGGTCAGTTGTGCTCATAAATCACCCATCATGAAATGCGAAAACGTGTTGTCTTAAAAAAAAAATCACTGAAGCCAAACACAGTCGCTCACACCACCAGCTGGTACACTGATACAGATGTGTTCCTAGAACATCCACCTAGAGGGGGAAGCCTACAGGGGGGCCTACAGAGGGGGGTACTACAAGGGGCCCGCCCTCCAGAAGATAATTCCGTGTTTTATGGGGTCTCCCCACTTACGACATAATTTTATAAAAAAAGAAAATTAAGCCTGAATCTGGTCAAGCCTCTAGACCTAACAACAAATTTTTAAGAAAAACAAGAGTAAGAGCAACTTGTTAACACCACAGTGATGCAAATGGCAAAACTAAAGCTGTAGGAAAGTCTACAGGACAAAGGAACTTGTGTTTCATAACAGATAAACTGCAAGGGAAAGAACAGATGGGAGAGGAACATACAGATGTAACAGATTCGAGACATCTAACAATAGTGTGTGGACCTGATTTGGATCTCAATTGAAATAAACTATATAAAAAGTTATGAGACAACCAGGAAAATTTGAGCAATGATTGGATGACATTAAGGAATTACCGTTATTTTTTAAGGTACATAAAATAGTATTTTGGTTGTTTTAAAAAAGTCCTTATTGAAGCTCTGGCTCGTGTAGCTCAGTGCATTGAGTGCCGGCCTGCGAAGCAAAGGGTTGCGGGTTCGATTCCCAGTCAGGGCACATGCCTGGGGTGCAGGCCAGGTCTCCAGTAGGGGTCAGGCGAGAGGCAACCAACCACACATCAATTTCTCTCCCTCTTTTTCTCCAAAATCCTTATTGAGATAGACATTGAAATAATAGATGTATGACTAGAATTTGCCTCAAAATATTCCAGATAGGGGAGAGGTAGTGTGAAGGTGGGAATTAAATGGGACTGGACTTAAGTTAATGGCTATTGGGGTTGGGCAACTGGTCTACAGAAGTTTGACTGTCCTATTCTACTTCTATGTTGTTTTCCATTGGAAACAAAAGTCCTGTTTTTTTCTTACTTGGCTTTTCAGTTTCTGGAGTTCTCTTACTTTTTGCATTTCCTACTATATCTTGGCACTAATCAATTTGGTAACTATTAGGTCAAAATGTGAGAAGGAGAAAAGAGCTCCATTCAGAATGATGACCGGTAGTTCTGGTGTGCCGGGAGACCCGAGGCTGGGCCAGGTTTGTAACCTTACCATCTTCCCCTTCACATTCTGCTAAGGAACTTCTGAGAAGTGCTGGGGTAGTGTCACAGAACAGGTGGAGAAATGCTGACAGTGAATAACCTGTTGATTGCCCTCAAGGCTGTGCTGGACCACAAGCCAAGTTCCGTTGTAGCAGTTGGCACATACCTGTCAGGACTGATGCTACCTGTCAGACAGGTCATACCCTAGGCAGGGTTGCGTTATGAGGCCAGGTCTCCAGCCTACACCTCTCATTTCTAATTATCGATGGCTGTTTGAAGACTTTCATCTTCAGTGTGACATTCCCAAGGATGCACAGGTGCTTCCCAGAGGCCACATCAGTGTGACTACTCCCCAACCATCCCCCTGACCCATGACCCAGACAAAGTCCAGAGCTCACAGTAATGTAAAACCATTTAATTCTAAATCAAATCACTTTCACAACAGTGAAAATTAGTGACTGGTCAAGGTGTGCCACTGTATATGGTGTAATTTTCTATCTATGGTTTGGACCTGGTCCTGATCCACAAAGGTGGCAGGAGTGGGGGTAGAGGCTAAGAACATAGAAAACACACACAAAATTAAGAAAAACTGCCTTGGCAGTGGGGCGAGATGGTGAGCCTGATGAGGGGTGGTGGAAAGGGGGCTACCTATCAGGGCTGGGCCAGAAGTCCCCAAGTCAGCTCTCTTGCCCCAGCTCCTGACGGAGGATGAGTGGGGACCTATAACGTTCCAAATCAAAGGGCTCTTGGCCAACGTGAGTTTGCTAACAGGTTCCTGGGATATCTTTGCTGGTAGAGCTCTCCTGGGATCACTCCATTTCATTAAGAGTCCAAGTGATTCATGTTCCCACACATACCCCTTCTCTAATCTTTCTTCTGGAATCCCGTTTCTATTGGGCCCATGTGATTGAAGTCCTCTCTCTCACCACTAGGTGGAACCACTGCACTGAGGGATCTCCCCCTGCTTCCCAAGTCCTCTCCAGCTGAGAAAATCCAGGGGCACCTTCCACTTTGGGGACTTCCAGGTGATAAAGAAAGCACTCCTGAGTGGGTGCCTCCAAGATGTTTAAAATCCATCAGGCACACTGTAAATCTGGTGGCTTATTTTTACCAAATGGATTCAGCAAATGAACCACCTATTCAATACTTGTATTTTGTCTTTTAACACTGAACTCTGGCATTGACAGGTCCGAGGGGAAGGAATAAGGGCTGTAGAGAAGGGTGGAGGGCTTCCTTCGTCTTGGATAAGGTCTTGGTTTCCACATGCTATGCAGAACCGTATCTGGGGGAAAAAAAAACACTAGGATGGGCCTTCTACAATTTGTTGGCTATTGCTGGAGGTGAGCCAGGAACATCGCCGACTGGTGATGAAGCAGAGGACCCAGAGGAAGACCATCTCCTCCCACCCTTGGGGTCTCCTGGAACAGACTGGATGTCTAGGAAGAGCAAGACAGGCAGAGCAAGAACCATTCCGCCTCGTGTCCTCCTGCCTGGCACCACACTCCCTCAATCAGGTTTGGAGGAAGCAGCTTGTGAAGTTGAAAAACAAATCAAGGGCTGGGGAAGCCTGATTCCCACAGAAAAACCACATCATGTCACCGTGCTCAGGCTCCCCAGGCCCACTGCCTGGTTTTAACAAATCACCAGGGGTTGCCTGCTCTGGAGTCACATGCTTCCCTGGTTTTAGCACATATACAAGGAGTTTTCTGGGGAGTCCTTCAAGCCATACCAAAATTAGGGTCTTCCCTCTTCCCTGCCTCTTCATTAAGGACAACTTTGCTTCTGAGGAGGGTGTTCTTCAACATGCAGCTGGACTGACTTGACAACGCCACAGGTTCTTTGGGGCAGGCAGGCATGGAAGATGCACGTGGAACTTCTGCAGCCTTGGGGACAGGGCTGCTTGTGCGGTTGTTCCTGCATCAGGGCTCTGAATCCCACTGGCGCCCCAACTGCAGGCCTTTCCTAACGCGCAGCAGTCAGTCCCAGCTTCAGCAGTAGCCTAGGTTATGTGCTCTCTGGCAGAGAGACACAAGTGTGTAGTTTTTCGGGAAAAGCTGATGGGAAATCTGTGGGTGAAGCCACATGTCTCCTTGGATAATCTATGCCAGGAGGTCATTCAAGCCACTCTCTGGTGCCAAAGACACTGAGCATGGCCCAGAGCCAATAAAAGATCATTGGGTCTCTGGTGAATTCATGATGTGACTCCAGCTTCAGCTGCTGCAATTATGATCTTTATAGGACAGTAATTTTTTGCATCTCTGCTGAGGAGGAGGAGGAGGAGGAAGAGAGGAGAGAGAGAGGAAGTAGGACAGAGCAGCATTGGGATCTGGAAGGGGAACCTCTTTGTGTAAGGACCCCCACTGACTTCAGAGGCCACTTACCAAGGGGTATTTAAAAGAGATGAAAGAAAGCTTCCATAAGTAACATTTGGTTCATCCCTTTGTTCTTATAATATTAAACTCAGGTGAAATCGTACTGACAGTCCTTCTCTTCTGCCTCTTCCCTGTGCAGATTCAGGAGCTGCTGAGCTGGCTGGAATAGGATTTCATGGTGTAACCCATGAGAGACAACTCAATGCCAAGGCCTGAGATTAGAGCAGAGTGTTTATGGTAGTGGCCATACTCCAGGGTTCTTGACAACTGGTGTTGAGTCCCAAAGCTCTGATGGAGAAGCAAAATTCCTTGATGTGTTACTGACCCCATCGATTCTAGGGATCAGGATTATCCAGGAAGTCAAACATCAAGAGTGGGGGTGGCGTGTCACCAGTCCAGAGGACTTGCCATGGATGTAGGCCAGGAACCTAGCATTAGGCGATTAGGAGCCAGAACATGATCACCAGGGCCACAAACAGGAAGAGGCGTGACAAGAACTGCTCATCCACGTACTGCGGCGTTCCGGGGACAGCTGGAGAGACAGGAGGGAGAAGAGAAGCTGTCAGAACACTGCAGCTGTGCCCACTACCCATATGGGACGGAGTCGAGAAGCACTGGCCTTCAACTCCTTACAACAAAATCCTGCACACTAAAGATTTCCAACCTCAAATAATATCATGCAAAACAAGATTGGTATTATGAAAACTGTGGAATAATATAACAATGAGGACAAGGTCTCCAAAGGGGTTTGACCTATTGGTGCAAATAAGACAGGGAACTCTTAGAGGAAATAAAGAAAAGCTACTGTTTGTTAAGCATCTTCTGCGTGCTAAGTGTTTTGCATACAAATTATTGCTTGGTGGGTACTAGTCCCATTTTCTGTAAGAAGAAATTGAAGATGGTGGTGAACACACAATACAGTATGATGCATTATAGAATTGTACACCTGAAACCTATGTATGTTTATTAAGCAATGTCACCCCAATAAAAAAAGGGAAGAAACTGAAGCACTGCCTCCTGAGTCACGGAGTCTCTAGGTTCTGGCACTGCTGAACCAGGAGGGGTCTCAGAGAGCCCCTCATGAAGTACCTTCCTGTTCCAGAGGGGAGAGCTGGAGCCCAGAAAGGCAAAATGACCCGTTTCCTTCATCTCATAGCAAACTAGGGGCAGAAGTGGGCTGAGAAATTCAGTCTCCCCTCCTCTCTGCTTTGAGAAAAGCTGCTACGTAGAGCTCACTGACCTGCCTATGGGGAAAGGAGAGTTAAGGGAACCTAAACCCTGATGGACAAACTGTACCAAACATGACAAGAAAAAACTGTCTGATTGTGGCAGAAGGATAAAGAGATCCAGAGTTCAGCCTGGCTGTGGGACTATGTTCACCTGGGGAACCCAAGGTGAACCTTGGACCTGGTAGGAAGGAAGCAAGCTACCAGGCCTTCCTGGGGCCCTGTCCTTTGGGTCTCCTTCCTCACAGAAAACATACAAACAGAGGAGAAACCTTTGAGGCAGATGGGGTAAGAAAGGGCAGTCTCAAGAACTCTTGGTGCTATACTATTCCCCAGTTAGGTACTCTGAGGGATTCATGCAGGCAAGTAGTCAACAAAGACTTACTGATTGCTTGTTATTTGATAAGCACCAGTGTGGGCACAGGGGACAACTGGGATGGCCCAGGAGCAGGTTACTGTTCCTAGAGCATACGTTCCTTGCCAGGAACTATGCACTGGTGGCTACAGTGCCCTGCACACGTGAGGTTCCAAGGACTGCAAGCAGAGCTCAGCTGACCTCAGCAGCTCTGCAGGTTCCATGGTAAGGATCCTGACCCGAGTGGCAGACTGTGATGGAGTATAGGACACCCACCTTGCTGCCCTGCTCTACACCGAATGCAGCTGGCATTCTCAAGCTCACTGGAGGGAGAAAGGTAGCAGCAGGTGGCAGAGTTCTCAAAAGGCTGGGGTTTGGGACCAGCCCCATGTGTGTGCCAAGAAAAACTGGACAGAGACGCCAGAGAAGAGAGAGGCCCTGATTCCTTGTGGGTCACCTTGCTCGTTCTGGCCCCTAAAGGTCAAAGTAAAGGGAAGGGGTACAGATGCAGAACTAGGCTTTTGCTCAGCTGTGAAAAGGTTTATGCTTTTCATTTTATGTGCATGGGGCATGTCTTGGAAGACATTACTGAGTATTTTCTAATTTGTAAAACAGAGCTAATCACATATCTGTTCCACAGGCTTATCATGAGGATCCTGAGTTTGTAAGAGAAAGCACTCTGAGCATGCCTAATACTTGGTAAGCATGCATTATCATTAGCATGACTACTAGTAATCTAGAAAGAGTTCAGCACATTTTGAAAAAGGTGAATATCCATGTAGTAACAATTATCTGTAACCTATATACTGCCGGACACTGAGAAACCTTCAAGCAGAATTACCAAGGAAATAAGGCCTTACCTGGAGGAGGCCGCCCATCATTTATGTTAAATGCCGTGGCAAATATCCCAAAGGGAAATGCCCCAATTCCAAAAGACATCTGAAAGCCACCATCTCCAAATCCAAATCCTTGAAATCCCTGTGTAGAAGAAATGCAATTCAGAAGCAGAACAAACAGGTTTCCCCTGCACCTGTTTAACATGTCAAGTTATATGTGGTACCCATCTTTCCTCCCTATTCTCTGCCTCCTGTTTCCAAGGGGGGACATCTTTTCCTCCCATCTAGACCCCAAGGCAGAGGAATCCTGGTGGCCCCTCTGCTCTTCTAGCCTACAAGGAGTCCCAGCTAAGGAGTTCTGAATACCAGAAAGAACTGGCTCTGATCCAAAGCAAAATACTTGGCTGAGGCAAGTCAGCGTACTTACAGCTCCAGGTTCTTTCCCAGAGTCCTATGTTAGCCACTAAAATTTTCTACATGCTTTACAACAGCAAAATTTGTGCTGACTCTTACACCCAATTACAAGGGAACATCAGTACAAGCTATGCATTATTGGTAATAGCAACACAATGGAGGTCATGATAAAAATCTTGATACGTGCTCTCAAAGAAGCATTACGCTATCTATGCAGCAACACAGGAAAACTGTGACTGAGTTATCAGATGAAAGTGGCTGGACACCACGGTCACAAGTACACGACAATAGGTAGGCATGTGGCCAAGATATGGATAAGTATTTCCCTTAAAAATTTCTATTAATATTGTTAGAAAAGTTCAAATATTCTGATATAAAAGGAATATATGCTTATCACGAGAAATTCACACATTACAGGAATAATCGACAGAAAGTCCAGGTCTCCTTGCTCATCTTCCATTTCACAGCCCCTCTGCTCTAACAGCCACTGTCGGCTGTGTGGCGTGTCAGCCCTACACGTTCTATGCTGCACCATCTTTCACATGAAAAGATTCAATAGGAATCATAATACTGTGAATAGTAACTCCCATTTTCTAAGTGCTAACTCTGTGTCAGGCACCATGTTAAGCACTAGAATACATAAATCACATTTAATTCTTACAATAGCATCACCCACATTTCACAAATGACCAAACTGAGGCTCGGAATGGTGAAATAACTTGACCAAGGTAGTAATGAGTTCAGATCTAAAATTAAGTCAGTATGATCAGAAAACCCGTGCTCTTAATTATTGTGCATATTCTACAAAAAATTTCTCTTCTTCCCTGCATCCCTGTGTAGATCTTTAGAACAAATGGTTACAAAAATAATAAAAAGGAGAAAAATGACTGGGCCAAATGCTCTCCACAAAGAACTTTCATTTGTGAGTATTTCACAAATCATGAAAGTGACTGCTCCCTATCCCATACTGAGTAGCCTCGCATTTCCAGTTCCAAACTTCTTGCTAGGTGGCATTATGTATAAAGCTTAACAGCCAATTTAATAGGAGGGCAAACAAGGAAAACAACCAGTTTCCATTTCAGTGCAAAAATGCCTCCTATTTAGACCTAGTATGGGTGAGAGCCCGAGGGTTCCTAGAACCAAGACTGCCTTACCAAGACAGGCACTGTTTCATCAGGAACCACCACTTCCTTCAGTGCAGTCCCCAGTATTAACTCCTGGACCCCTTCTAATAACATCGGTACAGTCCCACAAGTCCTTACATTTGGTGGGTTCATTTTTCTAGGGTAGCACAGGCAAAAAGTATCATTGGTGGCTGCAGGTGCTTGTAAATGCTGGAGGTGCACATTGCAGTCACCAGGGTCAGGACCTCTGATCCCTGGGTTAGGAGCTATACTCTACTGGGAACCAGAGCCTGCAAAGGTTAAAATGGCGTTTCCTGGTAGTCAAGAACACGGACTTCCATAGCAGCCACATCTGGATTTCAGCCCTTGTCTGTGAGATTTTGGACAACTCATTTCACCTACTGGACCTCACTTTGTTCTTCTGTTAAACAGGTTGATGTGAAGCTTAAATGAAATTGTGCACATAAAGCCCTTTACATAAAGTTGTTTGCATACTATAATCACTCAACAAGAGTTTGTTGCTGTTACTGTTGAGGGTAATCTGGAGAAGAGACTCTTAATTTCTATCAAGACCCCTGACTCAATAATCCACCCCTGGGAATCCTATGGAAATGTCATAATTCAAATAGGGGAAAAATAATGTGCCGAGATGGTCATTGTAACAAAATCTGGAAGAAAACTAAAGGATTCTTCAATGTGGAAACCTATATTATAACGCATCAATATTCAATGGAATAAATAGTACCTTTTAAAAATAATAAAGAGTGCCCTGGTGGGGTGGCTAAGTTGGTTGGAGTGTCATCCTGTACACCAAAAAGGTGCAGGTTCGATCGCTGTCAGAGCACACACCTGGGTTGTGCTCTGGGTTGTGGGCTGGTCCTCGGTTGGGGCACATGTGAGATGCAACCAATTGATGTTTCTCTCACACATCAATGCTTCTCTCCCTCTTTCCCTCTCTCTAAATAAATAAATAAAATCTTAAATAATAATAATAATAATAATAATAATAATAATAATAAAGAAGACGCTACAGATCATCATGGAAAATATTATCAAAATTAAAATTTAAATCAGCAAAGAGAATTATGACAACTACATAAGATACACACACAGCATACAGATGAAAAAAAATGGGTATATGAAAATATACTTGTGGGATCCTCAGAGTGTGGATATTTTGCTTTTAAAAATTTTTACATATTTTGACAAGAAATTTTTTAAAAAGACTAATACTTGACTTAAATGTGCAAGTTTTTGAGCCAATAATTCTACTTCTAAAAATTTATCCTAGTAAAATAATCATGAACCTGCTCAAATATCTATCTGTAAGTTCATCAAAATATTTTTAAAATAGAAAAAAGCAAACAGCTAAATGTCCAACAATAGATTAAATAAATTATGTAAAATCCAAACATGGGAACACTCTACATAAAATATTACTGACATGTAAAATCTGAAGATATATCTTCGAAAACCTCCCCCTTTCTAAGAATGTAAACTCTATAAGGGCAAGATCTTTGCTATGTTCACGGATATATTATGTATACCTAGAATGATGCTCAGCACACAGAAGGTACTTAATACAGAATAAATAAAATTTTAAAAGAGGATTACAAAACAGGAGCCAAATACTTCTAAAAAACATATGCATATATGCACATCTATAAATAAAATGTAGACATAAAAAGATCTATAAAACTTGTATATATACATAATTATAGAAAAGAAAATAGACCAAAATGTTTCCAGTGGTTATCTCTGGATAGTGTGATTATTAGTGATTTCCCTTCCTTTTCCTTTCTGTATTTTACAAACCTTCCTTTAGTTTTATAATCAAGAAGGACAAAGTACAAGGCCAAGAGAGAAACTTCTAAAGCCATGGTTTCAATACAAAAATCTTCTCCTAGAATTTTCCTTACCCCTCGGTTCTCCGGCTCTGGCCTCTGTCCTTGAGGACGGGGAGGGGTCTTCTCTCTGAAATGGAAACAGTGAAAATGTTTTGAGCTGCTCCTGAGTAAAGTCAGAGTTCTTCACCAGGACCACGCCCGTTTTCCTGCCCAGCACATGAACGGACCTATGCCAAAATAAACCAAATACTGAATGACTCTTTGTTCTACCTGGCAGTTGTTTTTCCCTACCTATGGAAAATCAAGGTAAAAATCATCTTGTTTATGAGATGCTCAGCTGATTGTACTCAGCCTACTCCTCCTCTCAGAGAGCCTGACCCAGAATGGTGAAGAATGCCAGCCAGACACCTGTCCCTGGACCTGTGTGATATAGAGGTCATGGAAATGAAAAATCCCAAACCTGAACTGAAACAGAGGGTACTCTGCCAGCAGAAAATGCTGAGATTCAGTGTCTCTCTGATCTGCCCCTATTTCCTTCAGCTTTACCTCCCACTACTCTTGGGCAAGTACTTTACACTATGCTTTTTACCTCTGGGTCCTAGCCTCTTCCATCACTCGTTCTACAAATACTAAACTGAGGACTTATTACCCATCAAGCTCAAAGTAGGTTACCAATACTAAAACTGATGACAAACTCTTCTCTTGAGGTGTTCATCGTTTAAAGGGGACTACAACTAATCACAATACAGCGTGGTAAGGGACTTCTTTAATATATGTATAAACTAAATGGGATGGGGAGCATGGGTAAAAGCAACTAATGTGGGGAAGAAAGGCCATTTCAAGGAGGAGGTAACTTTAGGGCTGCTCATTAAAGAGGGACAAAGTTGGAGGAGGAGGAGGAGGATTGAGCAGAACTGGGGAGGGCAGAAGGGGCAAAGGAAAAACAAATACAAAGGCTGCCTTGGCCGGTGTTGCTCAGTGGACTGAGCACTGGCCTGTGAAGCGTAAGGTCACCAGTTTGATTCCCAGTCAGGGCACACGCCTGGGTTGCACGCCACGTCCCCAGTTGGGGGCCTGTGAGAGGCAGCAGATTAGCAGCCGATCAATGTTTCTCTGACATATCCCTTTCTTTCTCCCTTCCTTCCTCTCTCTTTAAAAATAAATAAATAAATGTTGTTTTTTTTTTAAAAAAAAGATCCAAATACAAAGGCTCATGAATGTGAAACGGTAAGAACCTTTGAGAGAAGTCCAATGTGCCTGGGCACAGGGTGTGCTGGGGTGGGTGGGAGAAGGCAAGAGAACTGGAGAAGGGGAGTTCAGGGTGTGTGCCTCTACGCATGCACACCTGCACACACGCGCACCACATCACAGAGGGCTCTCAGTACTTGTGTCTAGAGAGTGCTAGACCTACCCATTCCTCCACATCCAGAAATTGCAACTCTCTAAGCCTCCCAGGCCACTGTACACTGCACCCCCCGCCTCCAATTTTATACATCACTGCTATGGCAGGCAACCTCCTTGTAGACTCCTGCTAGACACCCTGCCTCTCAGGCTGCTCCCTTACAATGCTCTACACACTTGCAACTGTGATGTCTTGTGCACTGAGCACATTACCAGCCCCTGGCAGACACCTGATGGTTATCTGTATTGTATATAGCTCAGTGAGCGGCAACCTGGCTCCCTTCCCCTCCTGGCTCACTCCCATCTGAATCACAACTGCCTCAGAACTGAGGGTCTGTCCACAAGCACTAAGAGTAAAGGGTGGGGTGAGCTGGTGCTGAATGGAAGTGAACTCATGTCCAAAGGGGAAGAGTGCGTGTGAGAGGTGCCCAAGGCCTCACCTGGGGTCCTGCTGCCCAGTGCTGCCCCTGCCATAGAGTGGGATGACTTTGTCTCGGCTGATCCCGGCTTTGCAAACTGGACACACCTGCCTGTTAGGTCTGGTCTCCAACCACTGCAAGCAGGAGAGAAAAATGCATTAATGATGCAAGTCCACCACACAGTGGTCATTCAGAGCCAGCAGGAGAACAACATGAATCAGAGGCCTCAAATCGGAAACACCAGCACCAACAGGGACACCAGGGACACCTCAAGGAACTTGACTCTGATTCCTACTCCTGTCACGTAATAAATATTTACTAGTGGTGAAATCAAAATTGCCTTTAAATACCATCATAATTAAACAAGCTTCTTCATGCTTTGTTCTCTCTAGGGGCTCCCAGCAATACAGCAGGAAGAAACTATAAGCCTGGAGCTATGTCAAGGTGTGTGACAGACACAGCCTCAGTTTAAGCTGTAGGTGTGGGTATAACAAATTTTCTATCTCGACTGCCCGTGAGGGATCCACTGTATTATCCTGGCAGTCAAATATTCCTTTCTGTGATTTCTCATTTTCACAGCATTTTCTAAACAACTCTGCATTCCACACATCAGCATCTGGATATAACTGATCATTTTCTGGAGATTTACTATGTGCTACAGGATAGATTTTGCTCATTATCTGAATTTGCTTAGTGGTTTTTATGATGTATTTTCACTGATTTTTGTATTCAACTATTTCTTTCAATATGAGGATCACCAGAATCCTGTTTTTGGATTTCCCAGGCCCTTTTGCTGATTACATTAAAGACATTCTGTTTATTTAACTTTTTTTTTCCAAATTATAACAGAAAGTTTATTTAGAAATTTACAAAGCTAGTAGAAGTGAGCCAGCTGGGCTGCGCAGACTCAGGAAATAAGTTGCAGAAACAGAAGGGCCCTTGGAGCTCAGGAGCAGGAAAGGCAAAGGTAACTTGCCTGGGGGTAGGGGGGGAAGAAAAGGGAGACAGGAAAGGCTCGGGAGTGGCCCATTTACCTTTCTTAAAAACAAAATAAAAAGATAAAGACATGTTACCTGTAGTGTTTTTGTAGACATTAAGTAATTTAATATATATTCCCAACATTTATCTTAGAATATACATTATAATATTAGACCTAATGATATAAAGTTCATTACAGAAATGTGAATCTAGGACTTCAGTGCCAAGGAGAGGGCAGTGTTCAATGACTTTGTATCTTATTTCCTTAATTTTATTGTCAAAAGCTCCAAAACTTATATATACTGTGCTCTTCATAAATTTACATCAGACATGTTTTACCAGGCTCCACTGGGATCAGAATGCACAGCCCTGAACTTAGAAGGAACCCCTCTCATTCCCCCCACTTTCTCCCATCCACATTCTGAGGCTCTAGTGGGTCACGAACTTCTGTCCTCCCTCTGCATTCCTAGGCCACCTACTAGTGCGGGGCTGTACTGCCAACAACCGTGGGGACAGCCAGCTCACAGTGTTTTCTCATAGCCAGCTGTGAGTGCCAGCCCTTATCTGTCTCACCAAGCAGGCACCTGGGTCTTCCTGGATACTTACCAACTGGTTTTCATAATCATCTAATGCTGGGAAGACAGATTTCTTTCCTCTCATAAAGGCTCTCTGTTCAGACCTAAAAAGTTTCCTCCTTCCTAACATTTTCAAGACCTTTAAGAGTAGAGGGGACTGTTGACATAACAGGAGGTACCTTCTAGAGGCACAATCTAAAAAATAAAAAACTAACACACTATTTGTAACCCGATTTACAAATGAGGAACTGAGACTCAGAGAGGTAGTGGCCTGAGAAGGCCACAAAGGCCACAGGTAGCAGAGTCAGGAGCATCCTGTGTACCCCAATGACCCCTTGTTTCATCAAGTGCCTGTTGGTGGGCAGGTATATAACAGGGGCTGGGGAAAAGACAAGCAAATGAGCCCCGCAGCAGGGGAGATTGCAGTTTCTGACAGTAGTCTCCTGAGACTAGGGGTATCTTGTGCAACCACAGCTGATGAAAGACAAAGTAAAATGAAATGCATCTTACCTGATGTAAACACGGCCAACTGTCAGAGTCCCCAGAGCAACCAGTCATCAAGGAGAAAGGGGGAAAGGGGGAAAAAAAAGCCTTCATTAGCAGAAACACTGAGACAGGAGCATAAAAGTGGGAAACATGGGAAAGCAGGATGGAACTGCAGAGCACTGCCACACTGAGGGGGTCACGGTGCCAAAGACTAGAAAAGACTGGGCTGAAGCCCTGACAGGTGTGGCTCGGTCGATTGGGTGCCCTCCTGCAAAATGAAGGGTCCCTGGATTCCCAGTCAGGGAACATGATGCAGGTTCAGTCCCCAGTTGAGGCAACCAATCGACGCTTCTCTCTCATATCGATGCTTCTCTTCCTCTCTTTCTCCTTCCCTTCCCCTCTCTCTAAAAAGAAATAATTAAAATCTTAAAAAAAAATAAATAAATAAAAGACTGGGCTAAAAACACTAGAAAAATGAAGGAATGGAGTCAGGACACTAATCCCTACCGCTGGGGTCGCACTATTTGTGAACACCCCCATGTACCAGGCCGTCCCAGATCTAACTTCTCTACAGGTCAAACTCTGAGGGGTCTTGGCCTCTAAAGGAATCCAATAAAAGCTAAGGACCCTCTGGCAGAAAAATTCATGGGGGCATTCTCACGCTCTCATCCATGCACGCACACACGTTAATATTTTGGACTCACTTTCAGTGGATTCAAAGCCTCCTCAGACTCAAAAGGAATGTGTAAATCTAGATCCAGTTTAACAAAATATTCAGGCTGTCCTCAGCCTTGACAACTTGGCTGGCAGTAAGTACCTTCAAAGTTCAGGCCTACTGTTAAAAACATCCTTAAAGTAAAAAAGAGGATGGGAGGCTGCCGCTCGGCAGAAGGGGCTACCTTCAGCTTAGTGAGGTGCTAAAACACTGCACAGGCTGCTACCCAATTCTCATTTTTCAAATGAGAAAACCAAGCTCAGAAACATGAAATGACTGCCTGTTGCACCAGGCCTAAAAAACAAGTTCCCTGACTTCCAGTTTACTGCCCTATCACCCAGCAGTGGGTACAAAAAAATGACATTTACAGAATTGAAGGAAAAGTCACTCTAACTCTGTATTTTTAACTTTCTCTCTCTCGATTCATTCATTCAAGTAGCAGATATCAACTGCAAGATGTACTGCATGCCAGTACAGTGGAAAATGTGGACATGGATTTTTGTCCCTCAAATATATTATTGTCACTGGATGGTCAAACTAACCTTTGAGAAAGTGCAATTATCTCTATTTTACAGATAAGAAAACTGAGGCACAGATAAGATTAGTAGATTTGCCCAGAGATGAACACTCCCATCAGAAGCATGTTTCATTTTAGAGTCTGTGTTCTTTCCATTGATACCCTAACTTAATTCTTAATTTTGTGACTCATTTCAAGTCTTGCTTTTATGTTACCCTAATCACAAAACTGGAGCATCACCAAATTCTAGGAGAGGGCTGATGACAACAGTTTCTGCACAGAACTTAATGATTAGGGAAAGAGACTCCAGAACAAAAGTCTCTGCCTCACCCTATTCACTCACCAATTAATTAATCATTTTCACTGCAGCCAATTTAACTCCCTTAAATATTGCTTAAATGGTCCTTTCTTCACACTACTTCCCTGCTCAAAAATATCCAATAGCTCTGTGTCCTACTCAGTCAAATCTGGGTTGGATAATCTGGCCAAACACTACCTTAACTCTTCTAACACTCCTCAGTCCATAGCACCCATCCAGGGTACTATTCGAGGTACAGAGTGGCCTCAGGGTCTCAGATGAATTCAATAGCACATATGTCTGTTCCTGTCTTGGGGTGACACTCTCTTTGCCTTACCTGACATTTTCACTCTTACTATAATCCAAATCACCCTTCAAGGTCCAGCTCAAAACCAAGAGGAAAAAAAATGAGATCTCCACATTCACCCAGATTCTCAGAGCCAAGGGAGGGGGGGTGTGCTGTAACCATCAAGGCTGGAATGGACACTGACTCTGCCACTTCATTTTGATATACTATATAAAATATGGCAACAATATTAGCATCATAACTAACATAATATTTTACTATGTGCTATGTGCCTTTTACATATTTCAAGTCATTTAATGCTTAGAGTCTTATAAAATGAGGCAGAATTTAAGTACCTTGCCTAAGGTCATCCCCTAGGAAAGTGGCAGTCAAGATTCACAGCAAGGCAGTCTGGCTACACAGTCCTTGCTCAGAACCACTATACTGCCTCTTGGCTAGCGCAACAAGTAGCACCTAGTAAGTGCTGACAAATCGTTAGTGTTATTACTTTAGAGATGGGGATACAAAGCCCAGGGTGGGGACAGGATTTGCCCTAAGTCACTCAGCTTATCAGCAGCAGAGCTGGAATGAGATCCCAAGTCACCTGCCTTTGGGCCTGAGTGTATCGGGACCAAAAGTGTGTAGGAAACTTTCTCCAAAGCTGCCCAGGGCTACAAGCTTTCCAACCTCAGCAGTCTGTCCTCTGGGGTGGTGGCAGGAGTACTGACCAGAAGAGGTGGCCGCATAGGCTGATGACGGCATCCTTGGCTGTGTCCAGGCAGATGTTGCACTCAAAGGTGCTGTCCTGCCCTCCACTTTCGCCAGCACCGTTGCTGCTGCCGCTGGGTCCCCCAGCACTGGAGTTCTCAGGGGATGCAGAGGCCGAGGGCCCCTTGCTTGCCATCCTTGGCTGTCAGCAAACTCTTGAGTGAAGATTCTCCTCAGGAAAATCCTAAAAGGCAGAGAGCCCTTGACTGCTCATCTCTGCAGCTCATTCCCCTGGCCTCCATGTCAATACCCCCATTTTCTCTCAGCTCCAGACGTTCAGATTATCACTGAAGCCCTGAGTAACTTCCCTGGAGCTGCAGAGGATAGCTGTGGAGCATTACCCAGAGAGCAATGACTCAGAAACTTCCAACAAACATGGCCCCGAATTTACCACACAGATACACAAACCGCACACATACAGAGCAGCCTTCAGATGATTCTCCATAGAAACTGGGTCTCATTGTCTTTACATGCTCCCTGGATAACCACCCCAAGTGATAAATACACTCAATCAAATTGAACATTCACAGGCTGTCCCCTAACTTTTGATAGCTTCTATGTTGGCAGGTGAATCTCTTCAGGACAGAATGTTTGTGACTGGTATACACCAGAATATAAAGAAAATCCTGTCACTCAGAAAGGTTAGAAAGCTGGGAAGGACCAGAAACGTCCTTCCTATATCTTCTAACCTTTATATCTGCCATCTGGTCCTATATCTTCTACAATGCAATCTTTGCATTCCCTTCTGCCAGGTCAGAATACCACCTACATTATGTTGTCTAAATTTATCAACTTTTTTAGTCTCAATACCTTTAAAAAGGAAGCTTATGACATTGCTGAAAATAGAAAACCAGCATTACTTAACCATAAGTGAAAAATAAATATAAATATAATGAAGGAACGCCCTGGCTGGTGTGGCTCAGTGGATTCAACACCGGCCTGCGAACAAAACGGCCGCCAGGGCACCTGATTGGGTTGCAGGCCAGGTCACCAGTTGAGAGTGTGCAAGAGGCAGCCACACATTGGTGTTTCTTTCCCTCCCTTCCCTACTGTCTAAAAATAAATAAATACAATCTTTAAAAATATATAATGAAGGAAAATCTTTTATCCTCATGCTACCTGAAACCATTTGGCATACTCATACTAAGCTTTGGGTAAAACTGGTCCAATCTCTTTAGGAAACTTAAGTCCTCTCAGCTAGGTGACTAATGTGGAGCTGAGGCTGGGACTCACTGCACCCAGTTCATATTCAAACCACTGTGCTACAACAGACAAGTGGCCACCAAATACCGGGAGAAAGAGACCGTTGTTCGCTGCCTCCTCCAAATCAAAGAACCTGCCAGTAGCCGAACAAGAGGGTAAGACCAGTACCAAAGGTCGCTCCAAAATTTTTGGTGCAGATTAAGAATCTGTGAAGAACCTGATCTGGGCACCCTCACCATCTCAGAAATTCCACGTAGGAAGTGCTAGCTGGCTAGCACAGAGCCGAAGGTTTGGATGCTGGTTCCAGTCAACAGGTAGTTTGGGGAACCTCCCTTCTCCTCCCTGGGCCACAGTTTTCTCTTCTGTAAACTGAGGCACTGGACTACATGGTCTCATAGGTGCCCCTTTCCAGCACTGAAACTGTGCCACTAAGGGTCATCTTACCCACTGTCTCCAAAGTAGATAGTCCCGCCGCAAGTTCGGAGCACTAGACGAGCACCCAGATTTCAGCTTCCAAAGGACGAGGAGAAAAGGACCAAAAATCCAGTCTTCTCAGACCAAGAAGCCTTCCTACGCACCACCAACTCAGAGTATCCCTCACCATGACAGCAGCTCAGTGACTTGAGCAGGGAGAGGAAACCGGCTCATGGCCACTTTTTCACTCAGTTACATCATTTTACATAATGTCCCAGAAGGGCAGCTAGTTGGCTGCTGGCAGCATCAGGGCCTTGCTGGCCTTGGCTCCAAGACCTTCTCCACAACCCAAGCTTCCTCCTTTCCATACACAGAATGAAGCCTGCTTGTGAGGACCACATTACTGCCTTTCTCTGTCATTCTAGCTCAAGTACCAGACACATATGTTTCTTTAAAAAAAAAAAAAAAATTAAAATGAAGGATTATGGGTGTACAGATGAGAAAGGCAACCATAAAGTCAGGTTCATGGATCAATCTTAATGACAGTCTTCTGATGTGATGCAACTGAAAGTACACAGCTCCAACAATGATGCATTCTTGTTTTAAAAATAAAACATAGACTCTAATCAAGTCTCTAAATGAATGCCCGTTTACAGAAAACACTTGGTGTAGATGCATGTGTCAAACAACTCCAGAAGGATACCCTTAGCAAATCCAGAATGGGGGATATTTTACAGGACAAATAACCTAAGTTCTCCAGAAAATAAATAGCATGGGAGGGATGTGAAGTTATAGACTGAAACTTAAGACATTCCAACCACTGGCAGTGTGAGGGTTTCACTAGAACCAAATCAAACAAACCAATTGTAAAATGACATCTGTGAGATGGCTGATAAAAATTAGATTTAACCTGAGTATTAGTTGATATTAGGAATTACTGCTAATTTTGAATATGATAATAATATTATGCAATGTTTTTGAAAAATTCTCAACTTCTAGAAATACATACTTAGGTATTAATGAAGGAATGATAAGATGTTTGGGAATTGCTTTAAAATACTCCAGGAGTGCCCTGCCTGGTGTGGCTCAGTGGATTGAGTGCTGGCCTACAAACCGAAGGGTCACTGGTTTGATTCCCAGTTCGGGTACATGCCTGATTTGCAGGCCAGGTCCCCAGTGAGGGGCATGAGAGGCAACCACACGTTGATATTTTTCTCTCTTTCTCCTTCCCTTCCTCCCTCTCTAAAAATAAATAAATAAAATCTTTAAAATACTCCAGGAGAAAAGTGAAAATACAGAAAAAAAAAATGAAGAACAGGAAAGGTGATGGTTGTTGGAGCGGGACAATGAATAGGAATTCACTGTATTAGTTTATTTTTGCATATGCATGTAAATTTCCATAATAAAAAGGATTTTTAAAAAGGTCAGGTTGCAAAAGTATTAATATGAATGGGTAAAAACAAAGTATATAAATGAGCATATACACACATATACACATAAAGAAAATGTCTGCAAGGCACACATTAAACTATCAACAATTACTTCTGAAATTATAAGAGCTCGGGAACTTTGAATTTTATATTCTTATCCCATTTTAATGTTTTATGACAAGTGGGTACTACTTTTACAATAACTTTTTTTTTGAAAACTTTATTTTCCGTCAATCTTATTTCCATTCTGTTAAGAGTTTGTGGAAGATCAGCTTAAGACCACTCAGTGGTTGTTGCTCCTATTCAGTGGCCTGAGCAGTGAGGGCTGCAGACCAGACTTCGGTGGGAAACTGTTGAATAGGCATAGAGGGCACCTGTACCTTCAGACCAGTCAGTGACCTCAGGCTGAGCAGCTGTGAACTTGGGAGCTGGAGAAGTCCATCCACCCTGAAATTCCTCCTTGGCCACACAGCCTTTTCAGCAGTGGCCTGCTCTTTCCTTTCAATCTCCTCAGGATCTCTGTAGAAGCAGAGATCAGGCATGACCTCCCACGAGTGTTCATAGGAGCTGGTGCCATGCATACGCTGGTGTCATGCATGCGCAGTACTTCCCAGGCCAGCATCCCCTACATCAGATCCACTGGATGAGCCCCCTTGTTGCTGCCAGGGGTGGCAATGTCCACATCATGCAGAGGAGTCTGTGCTACACAGAGCAATGGTGGGCAGACTACACAGAGCAGTGGTGAAAGGCTAGTGGTCAGCCCTGGGATCAGTAACCACCAGAAGTCTCAGGCCCACGGAAGGCTGCCTGGATCTGGCTAGTGAAGGTTCCAGGAGTGGAGCGGCCAGTAGCAACAGCAAACATCAGCATAGCTCGCTGGCCAGTGTTCCTGGATGATATGAGGTTGACACCAGTGGGATTTTCAATGGCAACAATGGCACAAGCTGTAAGCAGAAGCTTCTCTTAGGTTCTCTACACACTTATGATGCAGATGCCATCGCTTTTCTTTTCTTTCTTTTTTTTTAAGTTACTTATTTTTAGAGAGTGGGTATGGGAGGGGAGAAAAAGAGGGAGAGAAACACTGGTTGTCTTTCTCATGCCTCCACCCGAGGACCTGGCCCACAACCCAGGCATGTGCCCTGACCGGGAATTGAACCAGCGAGCTCTTGGTTCACAGGCTGGCACTCAATCCACTGAAGCACACCAGCCAGGGCTCACTTTTCCTTTTGCAGATGTACTGTTCCATTTGGAAGTCGAGGTTGGTGCCTGCTAAGTGGGTGTCTGCTCCAAGAAATTTGAGGACGTCCTCCTTCTTCATTTGTAGGACATCAAGGGCTCCAGACATTGTGCAAGTTTCCCTTTAAGTTACGTGGGAACCAAGCACAACACAGCATGGGCCCCTCTCTGGGTAGTGTGGAAAGTTACCCAACATTTAAAAAAAAGAAACTGACATATATGTATATTATATCTGTTACAATAATAATAAACATAAATATTAGTAATTGTCTTTAAAAATGTGGAAGAGCCCTGGCTGGTGTGGTTCAGTGGATTGAGTGTCAGACTGTAACCACAGGGTCGCTGGTTTGATTCCTGGTCAGAGCATGTTCCTGGGTTGTGGGCCAGGCCCCCAGTGGTGGGGGGTGGGGTGTGTGTGCGCATGAAAGACAACCAGACATTGAAGATTCTCTCCCTCTCTTTCTCCCTCCCTTCCTCTCTAATAAAAATAAATAAAAATTTTTAAAAAAATAAAAATGTGGAAGAACATACCAAACTGTTAATAGTGATTATCTTGGTAGTGGTGGGGGTTTAGAGGTAGCAACTTATACTTTATACATCCTCCCCATTTATAAAACTGACATTTTTATGTGTTTTAATTTTGAAATCAAACAAAAGAGTACGTTTTAAAAATTCCCCCAATGTGCTCTGGCTGGTGTGGCTTGGTCTCCCTCCCTCCTTTCTCTCTCTCTAAAAGCATTAAAAGAATGTCCTCAGGTGAGGATAAAAGGAAAGAAAAAAGGCCTGACTAGTGTGGTTGGATGTCATCCACCAAAGTGAAAACTCAGTTTTGATTCCCACTCAGGGCACACGCCTAGGTTGCGGGTTCAGTCCTGGTCAGAGTGTGTGTGAGAGACAACTG